CGAATTTTTTCGCGCCATTTCTGCTCTGATTTTGAATACGGCAATTGTTTTTTTTATTTACCTTTTAATTGTTTTGCACCAGTTTACAACTTCTTTTATATTATTTTTTGAAAATAATATTTGTGTTTTCGGATTCAGTAAATAAAACAGAAAACATAGTTTCGTCAAATCTGGTTTGTCCGCTAGTAAACTCAGTTGCTTTTGACACAAAAAGCATTAGTTTTTGTTCGCTCAAAAAAATAAAGGAATCCAAACACTTTTCGTAATCATGTGATTTGAATGTTAATCTGACAAATTTAAATGACCATCTAATAAAACATCGACTGTTTTAATCAAATTGGAAATATGATATATTGTAATTTTAGTGTAAACTTTATCTGCTGCTAACCAAATATTAGTATTTAATCGGCCATAGCCACGATAAGTTGGTACATTATAAGGTTATTTACATTCAGCTTTTAGAAACTACCGTTGATTTTGGCAATAAAACTATGCTTTACTATTTAGGTTATGTCTTACGCACAGAATAAAAAATAATACGACACAATAAAAAACATAAATCGGCTTATCTATATAAAACCGGCTTATTCGTATAACGTAGAGTCAGCACGGAAAAGGTAAACTTTAAAAATTTTATACTGAAAGTTTTGTTTTGTAATTTTAAAGAAAATCTATGTTTTTACTGGACTTCTAATTAGTAAGGGTGGTTTTTTTAAACTTAACTCCATGATTATTTTAAACATTAAATATGGGTAAAATAAAAACTGGATGCGGGCAGCGCAGGACCGTTCATTGTGGAAAACCTTGGGGGAGGCCTTTGTCCAGCAGTGGACGTCATTTGGCTGAAACGAACGATGGGTAAAATAAAAACTACCTAAGTATTCAAGTTTTAAAAAAATGTGATGGGTCATTATTATTGTTGATGGGTATTTGACGTCGGTTTGAGTTGAGATTAATAAAACAAACACGCATTATTATCAAACACAATGACTATAACTATAATTACAACGTTTAAGATAAAATGACATCAATTTAAAAATGGTTTAAAATTAACTCGGTAGATAATAAATTGTTATATTATTCTTAACTTGCGTCATTTTGATGCGAAATAAGTATACTCATGCCGATGATGGCAATATTTGGAAGATAATGGCTAAGAATCTCAAAGTAATATATCAATATAGTAAATTAGAAGATTCTTGTGTCCATCTTCAGACACAATAAGGCTGTTGAAGTAACCAGTCATAAAAAATGTAAGCATTGAATTAAACTATTCGTGGGCTGAGGCTGAGAGTGAGCGCGTTTAAAAAATGTATGAACATTTTAGTTTTTGAACGATTCCCGCTAGGGGCGCTGTACAATCTGTCATACATTTAATGTCATTTTTTGACGCGCTCACTGGTGAGCGCGTTTGATGAAAACTCACACTAGGCCCTCTGTACCGTTAAGGGCTGATTTTTCAATCGCCAGTTAACTGTTCTTAGCTGAAGAATAAGTTTGGCATATGGACAGTTTGACAAAATGTCAATTTTATACTTCAGTTAAAAGATACCCGACGATTCAAAGCAGCCCTAAGGTAAACAATTAAAACATTTATTTCACCATACCCGCTTTGACCTGCGTATGCTGACGGTACCCAGGTACGAATTGACAAAAAGATATATCTTCGACGTCGTCCGTAATCCGTCGCGCATTGTGCAACGGCTAATCGGCAGATCGGTTCAAATTAATAATGATTTATAACGACCGATTAGGCGTGCGCGCTCACCGGTGTACCCTGGGCCTAAGTCCTGCCGAAGAAAGGGCTAAGCTAATAGCGTTTGAAGTAGGTACAGTACGCTCACCGATGTAAGGAGTAGTGTTAAGTACAAGTTATGCTCATGTTTTTTTTTATGTAATATAGAGCTTCCATTTTGACCTCAATCACACCTGATGTGTTCTAAGATAGAGCTTGTTGATTCAATTAATACCTACTTGCGTTTTAAAGACGCAAGTTTCGTTTTAATGAATAAAGTGTATTACCTACTTTACGCATTTTTTCCATTTTGATACCATAGTTGTCGACCCCATGAAATGAGATCCAAGGGGTCTATGTAGTGAAATAATTGGGGGTCCTTTGAATGGAGCAGTTTCACAAGAATGACCTTGATTTTTGCTTCTTGAATAAAGTGCTTAAAATAAATTCCATTTAAACTACAAAAACAGATAAACAAGCTTTCCAAGAAGAAAATTACTTAAACTCATGTGCTCGCCTTTGAATACGCCATCTTAAAGATATAGGGGAGGTTCAAATTAATACTGATTTATACCGGCTGGATTAGACAGTTAGCACTAACTCACCAACCAAACGACCCTTAATACTCTAAGTATGAGCACTTAGGTGAAAAAGAATATCAAATTTTTATAAACTCAACTAGGTAAGTATATCATAGTTGGTTGGTATAGCATACTCTATCCAGTTCAATATACATTTCAAGTTCATAATAATAATAAAAAAACAAACAACGCAAAAACAAACAATTATTTTAAACTCAATACGCTTTCACTCACACACCGGCGTTGCATCTATAGCGACATTGCGCACGGCTTACGCCAGACGGGACGTCCCGGATTAGTACAAGGGTTAAAAGAATCAGACCGGGACACCATTATGTACATTCCCCCGCGTAAGACGAGGACGCACGACCGGCAGAGATTTAGAGATTATGATTCATAAAGAGAACAGAATGAATGGGAAATTATTACGGAGGGCATAAACGCGGTATTATAGTCTATGGGAAGCCGATAGCTGGATACCGATTCAAAGATAAACTGGTCGTGAAATTAGGTGCGCGGATTTAGGGTCCCATTCATTAGAGTACAGGGGATTTAGGATTAATTGGACTCAAAGCCGAACGCATCTATAAATATCTACTCGTAATAATTGTGTTTTTATTGGACTAAATTATTTGAGGCACTGCAAGCTCTGATCAGATACAAAGATAACACCAAAAATATCAATTTAACATTGATTATTTTAGTAACTTTGGAACTTAGGAATAATGCATGGAATAGGAAAAAAGCTTTACACTTTTAAGCGGGTTGATCTTATCAATTTTGCGACAGATCACACCCAATGCGTAAGACACTTATTTGAGTAAGCAGAAGAATAAAACTTTCCGCAGATATTCTCATTTCGATTTTTTAAATCTTCAGTAAAAATTGCCAGCCCTAACAATTATTTCATTAATGAAAAATCGACCATGAGTTTCCACTTCGTGTTATAGTAATTTTAAAGTACATTTACTATTGGAAAGTGCAGAATTAATCCTTGCATTAAAACACTAGTTGTAGTAGCGTAGTAACAGGTTCATGTAATGCAAAAGTAGCTGCATTAACGACGACGCTTTTTCCCGCCATTTTTTATACAGCATGTTTGTGATTTTCTTTAGATTCAGTCTACAATCCATTTCAAAATTAGTTAGAATTTTATTATCACTCACCCCGTTACGTGTGGAATGTCAACAAAGAAAAGTGTCAAATGAAATGACAGTAAATACAAAATTATTACTCGAGCCGGCAATAAAGTAACAAAACCAATGCTTTATTGAATACAACCACAGTACATTCATAATTTCAAGCGAATTATGTATGCGGCCGGTCTTTAGACACTCATTAAATGAGTTCAGAATCAATTAACTCGTTTTATTGCTATAATAATCGTCGTTTTATCTTCGAATCCAAAAGATACTGCTTAGGTGTAAAGATCTTGCACACTTTGATGATAATTGCGCGCGATTTTAGTAACATGGCGTGGAGTTGGACAATTTATTTTTAAATTGATTTCATTCATATAAGCGGCGTATTATGCTACATAGATGGCGGTTCAACCGCGCTATACGAGCGATACTGACAACTGCAATGAATTTATTTTTTGTCATGAGATTTGCAGACTAGTTTTTTTAATCAGAGGCATTTGTGAAATTGTAATACGCAAAAAACTTGCCAGCATTAATTGTGCTCGTACTAAACCTCCTTGCACAAGGGGTAGGGTTTAATTAGGACATGTAAAAGTGCTTATTGAAAGCCTAAAATTACAAAAAATAAATGACATTTATGGCAGTTTTGGATCAGCAAAATGGTACTCAGATTCAACTGAACGTCTCGCATCACTAAGTGCGTACATAACCTACGCCGCGGAGATATCGGTAAATCAATTATGGCATCAGATTACGGAGATGAGCCGTAGACAAAAGGGCGCGAGCGAGGGGCCGCGCGTGACTTCGAATAATTCGGACTTGTTGCCGCGACTGTACCGGACCGGAGCGGCGCGTTTTTGCCGCGATTTGATTGAAAATAAACGGTTTTATGTGTTGTTAATAGATTGTCTACTGTTTTGTTAATGTTGCATGGTGTCCAATAAAATTAATTAGATAACGACGTATTAGTGAAACAAGGACAGTTAATGCGGCATACAAAATCATATGTCAATGTGAAAAACATTTTAGTATTACATTTTTATTACTGAAGGAAACGTGTTTTCAGTTTTAATCTAAGCATAAAACATATGAAAAGTAGTGTTATCAGATTTATATGTCTGTCGTTATAAGAAACTTTTAATATAAAAATTATCTTGTTTAAGTTCCGGATGCACGATTCCCTAAGACGTCATTGTTCTGAGAATTTAGCAGTCCGAATTAGTTATTTCTTTATCCAATGTCTTATCAATATTAGTCTGGAATTAATTTAGCGTCAACATGCTTTTATTTGTTTAGGGACTCGTGTGATTTACGAAAGCTCGTAATATGATTCGGAAGTCAAATGTTTAAAAAATATTGGCCGGCCCGTAATAAGATTTACAAAAAAAAAATACGTTTATTTCGAACCAGGGTCCAATAGTGACAATGTAAGTTAAAACTATGTTAGTAAAATAAAAAATATGTGATTTGAATTTGGAATTCAAATATCTTCTAAATTTCTCTCATCAAAATGCAGTCGTGAAAAAATCAGCCAGTACTCACCGGTGATGCCTTTATTGAGGAGGTTGTTGAAGGCCTCCTTCTTCGGCGAGAGGTGCGGCGTGTGAGGCGCCCTCTCGTGGTGGACCGGCGCGGACGGCGGCCGAGGTACGGCCCTCTCCTCCGGCGACCGGCGGGGAGGCGTCTTGCTTCGACGCAGCTCAGAAGAATAGTTCTGGAAGAAGAAAGGGAGTTTTAAGAAGGAAAATTATCTTATCACATTCACATTAGTAGAATCAGTGAAGGCAAGTCCCGGGAGAAAGAAAATCTGTCATTGGGCGACGTAATGAAAAATACAAATCAGTAGTTACACTATGATCATTCATTTTTTTTGCCACTCTATGAGCAACACTATACTGACTTTCTAACGACGCCTTCGTACTTTCATACTGTCAAACTATCGACCGAAAAAGTCTGTAGTCAGCGGAGACTCTAAGGCTAAGTTGCACAACCTAACTTTGACCGTAACTTTAACGATAACCGGTGTTTTTTGTATGGAGTTTGACAGATTTCTGACGTTTTTCAAAGTTAAAATAAGTTAGTGCAACCCAGCCTAAGATGGTGAATGTAATAAATAAACACGTTCTAAATTTTTTGAACTTGAACGGAAAGCTTCCTGGTTAAGATATTACACTATTCACAATAATACATTCTCATATTAATATTATGCCTTTGAAAAGAACACTCCTCTGATATAGAACCAGTAAAGTATGCCTTACTAACGTGATATGAGTTTTGGTTCCAAGTTCAATTCTTAGATAGAGCCGGTTAGATAGCGAGCGGCATTTGAACTTGCAATTTTAAGATAGGGAAAAGAACTACATTGAACTTGCTTCTCTAATTTAGGTATTGCTTAATAATAAGGGGATTCTAAAAAAAACTCAAAAGAACATACTAAGCCCGCAAAAGTAAACGCCGATGTCATCTAGTATCTAATAAATAATACTAGACACAATAATCCACTCGTTAGAGCATGAGTTTTTCTTTAAGGTATTCAAAACATCACTAACTAATACACAATCGTAGAATAACTAATAGTTAAACAATAAGGCTGGGTTGCACCATCTTACTTTAACTTTGGCAAACGTCAAAAATCTGTCAAACTCCATACAAAATGCACCAGTTATCGTCATAGTTACCGTTAAAGTTAGGTGGTGCAACTCAGCCTTAGACAGGTTAAAATATGGCAATTCCACACAAAGCCATAAATGCATCAAACGCATTATCTATTTATTATGTGGACCACGTCCATACCATACACAAAGGAAGCCATACAATTAAAGTAACTGAATAAGGGATTAGAATTTTATTGCTCTAGAACCAATTCTTATGTAAATACAGGTTTTACATGGCGCGATAAAGCTAGCGGTGCAGGCAGCCTAGTTGGGATTTAATCCACGTAACGTCTATATGGACTGATGATTGACAAACTTGGATGATCTGTGTTTGTATGTAGTGAGGCCTACCTCACTTTACCTATAATAGGTAAACATAATTAGTTATGAGGGCCATAAGTTTGTCTGTAGCAATTTTTGCCGCTCTACATCTGCTACCACTGTATTACAATCTAGTGGACCACTTCCTATTAAGTAGTTGAATTTTACATAATAATCATTAAAATGTAAAGTACATAAACTGGGAACTCAATACCTACCTACATGTCTTCTCAAGATACGGATACAATTATTTATTTATTTTTAGAGAAATAAAGATCATTTCGTTCAATAAATCATTTTCAATTTTTCAGAACTTTTTAAATTATTTTTCAATTTGTATTTAAAATTTCAATAGATTTATACTACACAATAGATTTAATGAAAACACCCACAGTAGGTTTGGAGTTCAATAAAACCATAATGAAACTACTATTCAAATTAATGTGGGAGTGTGAAATGAAACGCAAGGGAGTGAGTTAAAGGCATTGAATGAGGGATAAGAAAGGTGATTTTGGACAAGACAGAACAGAAGACGGTTGAAATAAGATGGAGCGAGGACTTTCCTTTTCTTGTGGTTTATCCCGGAAAATACAAATAAAGCTAAAGAAATACACACCGCTTTTCAATTCCTACATTAATTATTATACCCAGACGAAGTCACAGGCAGCAACTAGTGATGAATAATTCCGCCAGTACACTTGCATGATGCATTCGCTGCGTATGCGCCGGCCGCGTCTGGACGTGCCGCAAATGCGAAGTCTGAACACCGTTTTTCATTAATTTTTATAATGTAACTGTTGATTTTTTGTTTCAGACGTCGCAGCCTAGAATCAGTTCGATGATCCGTGACAGTGCAGAATTGATGACAGTTTGGTTACAGACATGTTTCAGCCCACGTAAGAGTGGTGTAGAGAAATGTGATCCGAATACGTTAATTACTTAGGACGTGACTGTTATTATGACTGAATGTCTTGTAAACTTTTGTTAAAGTATAGTTATTTAATTTTTAGCGTTAAGAGTCGCGTCTCAAACTAATTTGAAAATTAAAAGTAGTTTGATACACATCGTTTACTTATTATAAAAAACCTACCAATTTTCTATTATCACAAACTATCAAATCTACATTTGCCAAATGTATTTTTCTAAAAGATGCGAAGAGTATATATAAGCTAAAATACAGCCAACGAGGATTAAATGAAGATTATCTAAAAGACACATTTTTTCAGCTTGTACATTTTAATTTACTTCACCTCCGTACACATCATACATCTGAGTTAGTAAACCCAATCACTGGTCATTCTTCTTTCATTTACACCACTTATCACCTCCGGCAACTAAATATAATTTTTCAGTCTATTTTTAGACGCAATATCAGTTGACAAACATGTCACGACATTTTCCACGTTTCCAATTTGTGACTTTGTGACGTACACAAGAAATATCAATGAAAACCAGTTTAAAAATGGCCACTTTAAAACAGGCGGCTAAAAATAGTTGTCAGCACTTAGCACCGCCTTTTCAGAAACAGAAACGTAGATCTGACGACAATTTTGGTACAGTGAGGTGCAAATTTAGCGGCCCGGTTTTTGTGGCCGACGGCAGTGATCAGCTTTGCCCTTTATTATCAAACCGGGTTTTCAATTTATCAAAGTTATCCGTTTTAATTGTGAGCAATTTATTTAAAGCAAATTAATCTTTCAGGCTTTTCATTCATCTTCGTTGTACAGTTGATAGCAAAAGCTTCGCGTATACTAAAGACTGTGGTTTTTAACCACCTGACGATTAAGTTCATTTTGTATGTACTCGTAAACGTAGAGCTGGTAGAGCTCTGACAAATCAGAAAGAGAGTACCTATAAATCCGAACTGTGATAATAAGCTTAGCCTTATGAAGATTACGAAATGTGATAAATAGGAAAGTTATTGTAATATTTATAAGAGACTTTGTTTAACTATTTAATGACCTATACGGTGCTATAAACACGTTGACGTAAAATATTGTTACATTTACATTGTTAGTTCGGTTTATAAATACGGCTCTAAGAAAAGTCGAGCCACTTAAGAGGAGTCGAGATTCAAATTGGACACATGCGCATTGCGTCAGTCCGCTAACCGCTCATGAGCCTCTGATTACGCTCATTGAGCGTTGTTACCATACGTCCCCCGAGACTCGAATCTCGGACCGAATGATACTCGTTTAACATGGTTAGTGAAGTGCAATGACAACAAATTACATGAGACAGATTAAATTGGGAGGTATTTGCGGACGACCTGTGCAATTTAGCGGGAGTACAAATCAAAACATGACCATGTCTATCTCAGTCACTCATATTAAAATCTCAGATTGTGTGAGCGAGACCGATAAACGTTTGGCTTGTGTTCTGATATCTTTCGCGGTTGCCCCTAGGTGGTTTTAATGATGTGTAATTGTAAGAGAATATCATTACATTAAGGCTGAATTGATAATTGGCTGAATATTGTGGTCATGATAGTGACATCATTGTTTATCTGAATTTATGATCTTCGCTGTCAATATTTTTAACATCGAATTAATAGTGTTGTTGATGACTTCACGAGTATTAAGAAGCAGCAGTTGCTGTTATATTCAATAGAGAGTGGGGTGATTTTGTCCATGACGACATGAAATTCATTCATTTTCAGAGCACTCGTTCGTGTTCGAAATGTTTAGTTTGCTCTACTACTTCAGATTTTCGGAACAACATATCATTTGGTGATGAGAAGAAGCAAGACAAACTCGACGAGAAAACGTAGCTATGCATGCATACACGCTCAAACGAAAACGTATGATTAAGTCAAATAATGGCTGAAGTACAATATTTTCCACTCTGTTGGAGGGTTGAATGGATCAAACTAGGATAAGAGGTTCATGAAATCCTCGGAAATCCGCTTTGAAATAATCCTAACGTGTATTGCTGGAACAAATATCATTTTTAACTTTGTTCATAATAAAAAGATTTTTCCTGAAACAAACGGTCCTATTGTACTGAAAAAGGTGAAACTAGCGATCTACACTACTCAACCAAAAACACACATAGAAAGAGGAGACTCAAACAACATGGAACGGCTTTCCCACATCGAGTCCGCCAGTCTGCCGTCATTTCTCGCAACCGCAGGCATAAAGCGAGCAAGTGCACCAATACGCGGCCAATAAAGCAGTGCGCACCGTCCATAGAATCGTTGATTCGCGCCACAGATACGTCTAATATCGTATTGGAATTTGTGATGCCGTTTGACCCCTGTTAACCCAGATTACGCTCGGCGCCTGATTCGTCCTCCAACTGATTGTGTTGTGACACAAACTGTAATGTATTATGTGTTAACTCTTGCTGCAATCACGGCAGAACGTACAATTACAATGGATATGTGCGCCGAACTTACGAATTCGTTGGACGATTTGTGACTTTGAAATGAAACGGAGTGCAGCTTTCTCGTTAATGAAAACATTTATGTACATGTGTGTAGATACAAAGTAACCTCGCCCTGGGTTAATAGTTGGTTGTTATTATAAATACAAACTAGATTCAAACTTCAGCTTTAGAATTCAAGCCTACTATTGGCTGAATTTCAATATTAATTCGATTACAGGATTTATATTAATAATATTAGAGTTTTCATTGCAGGAGTGTGGTTATCCGTGATCCTACTGCTTATCCTTCTTGGTAGAGTCATGAAAAACACGTTTTACAGTGGTGCAAACAATAGTGCTATTAGATAATTTGA